AAGAGGAACACAGAGTATTCCAATAGACACTACAAACCGACATAAAAGAGAGTGCTTACATGTCATATCATTAAAGGACTCAGAAATGCAACCCTGGCTGGCGTGGCTCAGTAGATTGAGCACCAGCCTATAAACCAGCCAGGGCACACGACTAAGTGGCGGGCCAGGTCCTCAGCAGAGGGCACACAAGAGGCAACCAAACACTGATGTTTCTCTTCCTTTCTTTCTCCCTCCTTTCTCCTCTCTCTAAAAATAAATAAATAAAATCTTAAAAAGAAAAAAAGAACTCAGAAATGCAACAATAGTCTAGTTTTGTTCACCCCAAGGCGGGACTGGACTTGCCTCTAAGCCGCAAGGAACTCCCATTCCCACTGAGAGAGCTTCAGAGTGGGCATGAGACTCAGCTTCTAAGTAAATCCCTTTTTTCAAACTGTCTCTCATTTGCATGTTTTACAGCTGACATTCTAATGTGTTTGCAGTCAAACACATTAGAAAAATGATAAAACCACCAGTCCCAGAAGGGAAGTATAATTTGTATGTCAAGAGGAAGGGAACAAACCTCTGCATCTTTATTACGGATCACGTGAGCTACATTTACCATTTATTTAATTCGCGCAACAACCCTACAAGGCTGACAAAATCTGTCCTACAGATGAGTCAACAGGATCAGAGAGGAAAAGCTTGACCGGCCTCGGCCGGGTAAACGGCAGGAGTCAGATGTTGCGTCTTCCTTCACCACGTTACCAGCGACTATTGTGTAACAAAGGTCTAGTTCTCTTAATAGAAAATATTTGAGGTGAAAGGTGTAAGCCACAGTGGCCAAAATTTTCCATTGGAGTCAGGATGTAACACTAGCAAAGGATGTGAAACCAGCAAATAATACCTCCATTCAAAGATACAAAGTTGTATTTACTACCACTAGGTTAGAATTTTACACACGAGTGAATTTAGTGACCAGAAAGTCAGCCTGTGGCTACAGGAAGGCAGCCGAAGACTTGGCTCTGCTTGTCCCAGTGACCCAGCATGTGCTTGTCAACGAGACACTCTGCGCAGCCAGACTTGGGGGCCTCGTACTGCTCACGGTGGTTACGTGACCACCCAATTATGGGACGGATCTTGCCTGCTCATTCAGGCAGTGACTCTCAATGAAGTCACACAAATGGGGGTCGTTTTTATCAGGAGCCACTCTGCACTTCTAGTAGTGACAGATTTTCCAAGTGCCACGCACAGTCCATTGCGTTAAGCTCCCGGATGCCACAGTCTGGTTTCCTGACATCCTGAAGGAAGGGCTGGTGCAGCTCTATCGGTTTCTCAGCGTGTCCCCTCTCCTCCGGGGAGGGGTGGAGAATACACGTGGTAATCACGGCCCAACCAGTAAATGTGGACAGAAAGTGGCCTAGAGCTCCGGGCTGATCGTAGAGTCGATGGCCCCCGGGTACTGGCGGCGGTTCTGACACACCCGCACATTTTCTAGTTTCTTTATGTAGACTCTCACAATTCATTTAAGACTTCTCTTCTTCAATGCCAGAGTTTCTCTCAAAGCTTTAGCTGTATCCCAGAAATTCTGAGGTACTGCATTTTCTTTCTTGCTACCTTTAAAATATGTCCTATTTCCTTTGTGACTGCCTCTCTTTCATCCAGAGGTGCGCTGCTTAACTTCTAAACATTTAGGGTACTTTCCAGATATCTTTCTTACTGATTTCTAGTTTAATTTCAGTGTGGTCAAAGAATATGATTCCAAGTCTTTTAAATTTGTTGAGGTTCATTTTATGGCCTCAAATATGGCCTGCCTCAGTCCATGTTCCACGTGCGGTGATGTTGGGTAGAATGCTCCTGAACAGCAATGAAATCAAGTGGGTTGGTAGTATTGTTTGGGTCTTCTGTATTGTTACTAATTTTCTGTCTAGTTACTGTGTCAGTGACTCAGAAAGAAGTGTTAAATGCTCCGAGAATAATTATGAATTTGTCTATTTCTCTTTGCAATTCCATCAGTTTTTGCCTCCTGTATTTTGAAGTTCTGTTATTAGGTGCAGCCACAATCAGAATTATGTCTTCCTGGTGAACTGACCCCCTTATCAGTACCTGCTGTCCCTCTTTATTGCTAGTAATGTTCCTTATTTTGAAGTTTACTTTATAATCATTCCATCTTTCTTTTAATTAGTGTTTGCATGGTGAAACATTGTTCATCCTTTTGCTTTGTAAGCTATCAAAGTGAGAGGCATTTAATTGCTGACATGGTTGGGTTTAAATCTACCACACTGCTTGTTGTTTTCTATTTGCTCCCAATTATTTATTCTGCTTTTCCTCTCTGCCTTTGGACTGAGTATAATATATGGATCTATTTTATCTAGTTACAGCTCTATTTCTTTTTGTGTGCCTGGCCTTGAGTTTATCACACATACCCATCTTTAATTTGTCAGTCTGCCTTCAAATAATATTACACCATTTCACACTGTCAAGAGTCGTGAAGAGTCTGAAACTTTACCTTGCTTGCAAGTTAACAAGCTAGTCAGTCACAGTTTGGTGGGTCCCGGAAGGAGATTTCTGGGTCAGTCATAAGGATGGTGTGGCAGTCACAGGAACGGCAGTGACCAGAGCACTGACATTTCTGCACTGGCTCCCCGGGCCCCAGTTTGCACAAGGGCCATCTGCAGAGAGCCAAGGGGCCTCTGCACATGCAGCGGGTTAGTCATAGGAACAGAACTCCACGCTTGGGGACCCAAATCTTCCCCAGTGGTCAGGAAGCACACCTACCTTTGGCTTCAGAGAGACACAGGCACGCCTGCATCCTACGCCTATGTTCTCTTTGCCTGAACACGCTGACTGCAGGTATCTGCACGGCTCGCTGTCAGCCCCCTTCACGTCTTCGCTCAAGTGCATGTTCTCGGAAAGGCCTTCTCTGACCATGCTCTGCAGGTTTGCGATTTTGCACCTTTATTTCAACTAGCACTAATTTTTCCTCCTCCTTTTTTTGGTTATGCAAATAGGTAGATATTGATGTCATTTATTGAAATAAAGAAGACTGTGGAAGAAAAAGCTGATTCATTTTGTGTTTGATTTTTTTAAAGAAAACAAAGACTTCTGACTTAACCTTGTTCGCCATGTGTGGGATGTCACACTGGCAACTGAATGGACTAGTTTGCAGTTCAGTAAGGATGGTCGGGTCTTGAAACGCCCAAAACCTAACACGAGTTCTACACTGTGCTGAGATAAAAACAGTTCCTGCCTTTACCACACTACCAGTGCAACTATTACCCTTCACTGCTTCTGTTCTCTTAGGTTCAGCCACGCGATTTCTTTCATGTCCTCTCTAATTGGGTGTGGTAATGCTATTTTCTCCTGCTGCTTAACTCAGCCAGACTGTTTCATCTTATGAATTACATGGAAGCAACATGTACCAATGACTAATAAAAATTTAGTCATTGAAAAACACACATCCAACTCCTTCTGCAAAAGTTAAGTGCTCCAAGGTTAGTCCCTCCTGTCTCAGCTACAGAACGCTGCTGAATGTCTTAGTGAAAAATATCAACCCTCACCTCCCTGTCAGCTAAAAATAACAGCAGATTCATGGTGTCCTCTCCCAATACTTTTCAAGGTTAACTTTATGAAAGAAGAAATAGTAAAGGCTTGCTAATGCCAAAATCTCAGGGGCATTTAGGGGAGGGAAGGGGAAGCTGAAGTGCTGAAAGAGGCAGAAAGTCGAGATGTTATTTGTATCTCTGTCATGGCATTTCCCCCCCAAAACATGTAAAAATAATTTAAAATGTCTTCAAATAAATTTCCAGTGGACTCAGCACTATTCTGGGTGGCAGTGTTCGACAAAAAGTTGTTGGAAAATCTGCACATTTGGAATCTTACTTAGGTTTATCCCAGTGAGTGCTGAAAGCCTAGAGTGTATCATGAGCAGACCTGGCTTCCCGGTCTGCGTGACTTACTAAGCGACCCTCAGCCAACCATTTTCCCTCTCAGGCCCTGCTCAGCTTCCCCCACAGGGATGGGTTAAGGGTTGGATGGGAGCGTGTATATGCAAAAAAGTCACAGTGATAAAGCTCTATGCAAACACGTAATCTTCATCCGAGACAATGATGTTCTTAGGCTTGGATCTGTGTTAAAATTACGTGGAAACCTTCTTTTAGCATCTGGGTTTTCTGATCTGGGATGATGGTTAAATATACTTAGGATATCCATAATACAGATATTAAAATGTGAGATTTTCAAAGAATTGACATTACAGAAAAATGCCAATGATCTAAATGTTAAAAAACAGAAATCTCTAGCACAAACTTCGCGAACCACTTCTGACGTGCCGGATCACTCACAGCACCTGCTCCACACTCTGCACAAATCTTTCTCTGCATTTCAGTTGCGTTCTTGCCTTTCTTGAAATAATAAAACATAACAGGCCAAAAGTGTTGCTTATTTTCCTCCATCTTCAATATTGAAATGACTACACAAAAATTCACCAATTTTGATAACGTTTTAAATGTGTGTTGATATGATAGCTATCACAATACAACCTCACAAAACTGTGTTGAGTACAGGTAAAGACAAGCGAGCATGACCAGAGCCCATGACATGGGAGAAACCAAATGATCTTTCTGACCAACCCAGTGTGTGTGTGCAGGATCCAGCAGCAGTGACACCTGCTTGACTGCGATTAGTAGGGTAATAATATGGGCACAACAATTTATAGTTTTAATTTGAACATTTCACCTAAAATCTCACATGGTGTGCTTGAGTGTGATACTGTTATGTCACAGAATTACATGCTTACCATTTTGTAATAAACGAGTTTGTAATGAAGAGGGGCATTACTGGTGCTGGACCCTGTATGTATGTACGTCTGTGTGTACAGGACATACACGGAATGCAATGCAGGACAGAGGGCACATACAGTTAATGTTAGAGAGACTCCTTTACAGTTTTTATCAAAGTTTGCTGAACTTCTCTGCTTTAATGTTTAAAAAAGAACCGTGATAAATATCTCCACTTGTACTTACCAGATCAATATTTTGCATTATATCCTGAAATGAGGGATGAGTTCGAAACTGTTCAAAGAGATCTCGTTTGTAGAGCAGCGCGTACACCAAGTTTGGGTTGTGGTGAAGAGAATTGGTCAGGCAGGAGTTGATGATCTCTAACATCATTCGGATCACTTCTTCGATGACGTTCAGGTCTTGTGCCTGATAAAGAAAATGCCCACACGGTCACTATTTTTTCCTTGACCCAGAATTAATTAGAATGAGAGCAACTGTTTAAAAATTCTAACAGTAGTGAAAAGATCATGCAAAAGAACTCTTTCAAGATTTCTTTCCAAAATTTTTAGAATTAGGTTTATCAGTTACTAAAGGATTTCAGTTAAGTTTTCTTGAACTTACATGGTGATACTTAGGAATTTCCCATAATAAATTACAGACTTGCCGACCCAGAAGAAAGTTTGGGGCTCACTTAGGCCCTCACTTAACAGGTCATTATGTGTATTCTCCTCACTGTGGCATGTGAACTCAGCAGACCTCCAGGATTTAAAGTGGCACAGGGTCTTCCCATTCCTACCAAAAGTGTGTATTTCAGGATATGACCTCATTTTTCTGCACTGGCGTCCCAACCTTTATATTTATAAAGAGCCAACTGTTTTATTTCTGTTTCCTCAGAGTCAACAGTCTTTGGGAATCTGAGTGTGAAACAGTTATAAGAGAGCAAAACTCAAAGCAGGCAGTCAACAAACCTCCTGGAAAAAAGAGCAACATTATATGCAAATACCATGACTTGACCTCTCTTCCTGAGTTTTCTAAATCCTTTGCCAGCTGAAGCAAAACTGTAACATTGTGTGACAGGCTCTCAGGCAACTTTTTCATAGTGTCCAGTTCAAAATTCGTGTTTACTTAGCTTTCACTTGTTACAGCTTTCATTTTTAAGTTTTCTAAATAACTAGTTCTGTCACATTCTTGTTTCACTTCTGTTTTTATATTATAGCTATTTATTCTTTTTTATGAATATCACCCCTGTGAATGTATCTTTGAGGAAGTAGCTAAAGGGAGTATCTTGAAAACAACTCTATTAATTTTCAATTCCATTTGGATACCACACTTACGTTAGTTATGACCAGGACTATGTTGGTTCTTTCGCAGGTTTCAGCATGTGTCTGGGAACCCTGGTTAAGCAGGCTCACGCAGTGTGTTTTTCCCTCCCCCAAACCTGCAGGTCATGCAGTGGCTTCTGGAGTCTGCAACCGCCTCGTTCTGAAAACAGGACCCTAACCCCTTCCCGGTAGTCAGTCACATTGAAGACAGCCAGAGCAGGGTCTGTCACCAAGGCAGTATTGGTTTGGCTCACAATCCCATCTCGAGGCCAGTTCTATGTCCTCCTACCTCCCTTGCCATAGAACTTAAGAGCCATTGTGAACACCCTTGTCCAGGTTCTTTTCAGTAAAAAGTCGATTCCACTTTCTAACTGCTGGCAGGGAACCTGGCACCAGTGTGCTGCCTCCCACCTGGGCCCCTGGCGCCGTAGCCGAGCTCCCCGCCGCTCCTGCCTCCTTCCAGACTGGAAGCTCCGCACGCTCACTGCTTCAACTCCTTTATCTATTTCTGCTCTGAGAAATTTCTACCTCATCTGCAGGTATGGCTATGCGTTTTAAATGTCCTCTCGGTATTCCTATGTTTCTGGAGCAAAGGGAAGTGAATGGCATTCAAACTGAGAACTGACAACATAATCTTGACCAGAATTCCCTCAATTTCTTTTCATCTCTTGTTGGTACTTGAAGTCTAAGAGGAGGAGGAAGAAGAAACTTTGAGTTTCAGAATTCTCTCAAAGTCATTTAAGGGTGACCCAGTGAGACAGTCTGACCACAAGGCAAAACATTAGCTTTCTGAAGAATTTTATGTTTATAAAAATATTTCATATACCCATGTACGTTAAGTCCTAATATATGCAACTTAAATTTCAAAAACAAATCACCGGTGGATAGTTCATAATTTCTGCTTTTAAAACACTGATAATTTATCCTCGATGTTTGAATGAGTAATCTGCTAAGACAAATAGGGTAATATACCCAACACTCAAATAGGCACCTGCTCATTTAAACCCAAACTAAACTACTGACCATGTATCTTATCCCCAAATCAGGTAAAGTATAAACTGGAAGCTTTACATCAATAAACATATTCCCCATTAGTTCTCACTTTGCATCAATCAATCTGACTGAAGGCGCTTTAAGAATTATACTAACCCTCTTATATTTAAAGGAGTTACTGGGTATTTCATTTCTCTCGTTTCATTTTTACTTTTTATCACCATCTGAGGACATGCTTATTGGTTTTAAAGAGAGGGGACGGGAAGGAGAGAAACATCGATGCGAGACAGAAATATTGATCGGTTGCCTCTAACACGCCCCACCTGGGGACCTGGCCTGCAACCCAGGCTCGCGCCCTGACAGGGAGTCGGTCTGCAGATGGTGCCCAGCCCACTGACCACACCAGTCTGGGCCCGTCCACGACTCCACTCAGCCCCTAAGGAGCAGCTATTCTAGCACGTAAGCCGTCCCCTAAAAACTGCACTCCTGCGGATCCTTCCATTTGTGTTGGTGCAAGGCACCCAGCAGGTCATGACATAACCAGGGGCCAGGGGGGCAAATTATGCACCAGGGGACTCTGATTTACTACACATAAAGTATCAAATTTTTGACTAATTCCAATTTCCAAGGCAAACTATGCCAGTAATTATAGTTCCCAAGTTACCAGCATTTTCAAGTTGCTACAATGACTAGATTCTACTACATATGGCAATACACAAAAGAAATCCTTCAGGTTTCGTTTTGGAAAAGCATTATTGGGTGATAATCACCACTTGTAAAACAGATGAAAAATTATCATGAATTTGATTACAGCTTCTTTAAAATCACAAGGTCATCCATATCTCAGCATTTAAGGAGACCTGAACGGTCATCTGATCTAGTCAGTATCGGGATGTCAGCATCTCAAATGGTATTTAAAGAAGGTTGCTCCTGTATTCCTTTTCCCATGAGGATTAAATGAGGGAGCATTTGTAAAGCCCTTAAGACTGTATAACACAGGTAAGTACCCTGTGAGTGATATTTAAAGAAAATAAAAAACAAATAAAGTAATTTAAAGGGGGAAAATCATTTTAATTTGGGGCATTACAAAAAAGAACAAAAAGATAAATGACTTTTTGAAGTTGCCACATTAATTCAATTACTGTAACTATAGAGAACTTAAAAATCACATTTCTTAGTCTTAACTATAGGCCCCCAATTCCACTTCTATTAACTTAAAAAACTGGTCCTTTAGAGGACAAGGTATAGGGAAATTAACTTACATTTATGGCATGATATACGGTTTTCTAAAAAAACATGCTTTTAAAAATTAACCATGTGTCGTTTGTAGTCTGTCAAAATTAGCTTTGCCAGAGACAAAATCCGATGGCTCATTAGACCAGCAAACCACGTGGAGAACATGGTGCCTTTTTCACTCACGGTATTTACTTTTAGCACACAGCTTCCATTCCAGGAGTGGATCCCAGATCAAACAGACTTTCCTCTCAAAAAACCTCAGAACTGACTTTATTGCAGAGCACCTCAAATGCAGAGATGAGGACCCTGAGAAAACGGTCATTTTCGGATGTCCCTGGCAGCGGGGAATGCCGAGTGAGCTCGGTGCTTGGCGGTGACTTCACGTCAAAGGGACAAGTTGGCAGTTGCGTGAGTGTCTTACCCTGTCAGCGGCACTCACGGCTGCCTCATTACATAAACTTCCTTTTCCCTTTTGAGAGGGAATTTATACAGTTAAATAGCTTCAAATCATTTATTTTTAGTTTCCTTAAGAGAAGCATATGTATCTTGTTTGTATTAGTTTTGGGCAGATTCCAAACGAGTTGTCTAAATTTCCTGCATTTTCAGCAGAAAATAAAACCTTCAACAAAGTGAATGGGACACTGCCAGGGTGGGGGGGGGGGCACAGGCAGGCCTCTTTTCAAAGCTGATGTGCAAATGGCCTTCGAAGCCAATCATCTGGCGATAGACCCTTGCTATCGCCGCTAACTCACTGGAGCAGAATGAAAGGCTTTGTGGCCACGTTATTTCCAGCCAGAGCTGGATCTGGCCCAACGTATCGAGCTTCCTATATAGCAAGAACTAGCTTTACATTACATGCAGAATCACAGCTGAAGAATAAATGCTGTGACCAGATGAGAGAAAGTGTAACCTTAATAATTCGAGGGGACGGAGGAGGGGAGAGCGAGCGGCAGGCCATGGGGCCCTGTCATTCTCGTGTGGGAATGTGAAACGATGTGTTCTTTTTCTTCACTCCTTGGACAGGGTCTGAATGGGGCCGACAAGCCTAAACTAAACCCTGGGAAGTCTGTTATTTAAAACACCATCACTGGTGGCAAGAAGGCAAGATAATGGCGGCTGCTCGGGGTCATCGGCTAACTTTACAGGTTCTTCCATACTTGGAAAATAGCCAGAGAACTCACAAAAGAGAAATGTTCTCACTGAAATCCAACCAAGTCGCAGCCGCCAGCAGTCAGGTCGCCTCAGCAGGCTGCTCTCCCTGGGCAGAAGGTGGGATGCAGGAGAGGGGGTCTCCCCTTTCCCAGGCCCTCCCGCAGGCAGGCGAGAGCAGGCATACACCTGAGCTGCGGGGGGCTTTCACAATGTAATGGTTTGCCTTAAGAATTAGTGTTGATTTCCATTCTTCTTCAAAATACACTAGTGTTCAATTATAAAAAGAAATACCCCTCCCCCTATAAACAAGTAATATCCAAGTAAAAGAATTCTGTAGGAAGATGCACTTTTTTAATGGCTTTGATAGTCTACTAAGTGCTCCCCCTGGTCCCAGCTGAGACACAAGATCCCAGGACTGGTCCCAGCTCAGCCGACCAGTGGTTTCGTGACCTTGGGTAAGTCACTCGACCTGAGCTGCAGTCTTTTATTTGCAAAAACAAGTGCTTATGAGATTTAAATTCCCTCCTAGTTGTAAGTCTTAGTTTCCATTAAGAATGGATAAAATACTGCATTTAAAAAGCAAATTTTATTAGAGAAACCCAAAATGTGGTTAATGTAGAAAAATCTCTAGGGTGACCTCAAGCTTCAGTAAAATCCAGAATTTACTTTAGATGACCCAGCACGTGAAACAGAATCATTGTTAGTTTAGAAGGAAGAGACCCC